CTCGAAAAACCAAAAAAAAAAAAAAAAGATGTGAATGCAAAAGGTTAAGAAAAGATTCTGAAATCACAAATATGGCAAGATCTGGTCATGGAAGTACATGCCTCTAATCTTATGAGTTCGAGGCCAGCTGGGTCTATATAACACATTCCAGGACAGTAAGAGCTTCGTAGTGAGACCTTGTTCTAAAAAAGAGGAAGCACGAAAGTAAGGATTTATTTATTAAGAACAGATCATCAGGAGACCGAGGGAAGAAGATTACCACAAGTCTCAGGTCAGTCAGTCTGAGCTATAGGGTGGCTTCCAGGACAGCATGGATGAGATCCTGTCTCAACAACAACCACAAAAACAACAGTATCTATTCTTGGCAGGCACACACACATTAAGTAAAACGTAACATGGACACCTCATGGTACCTTTGGCACCAATTAGAGACAAAACATTTTGTATATTAATGACAATAGAGACAGCTAAAATATACAGTGCTGAGTAATATGGAGTTCAGGAGACAAAAGGAATACTGTAGCACTATGCTCTTTATAAGAATTAAAGACACTTGAGATAACACTATTTTAGAAGGATACATATTAAGTACAACAGAGCTGATGCCTACAGAGGTGGGAATTGGGAATAAATTGAAGAAATAAAAAAATAAACCAAACACAGTAAAAGAGGCCTTGTGGTGACTGGTCTTTGATAAAATCTATTTAGAAATGGAAAATGTGATTAACTCAAACCTCTACATTTTGGATCCTCTAAAAATCAAAAGGAAACCAGTAGTTTTACTTGGCAACAAAGTCTAAGGAAGTATAGCTACCTGAAGCTCAGTCACATAGTAGTTGTAGTGATTATGGTTGACAATCAAATTAATCTTCTCCTAAGCAAATATGGTATTGAACTTAACACTTCACACATGCTAAGTAAGAGTTCTACCACTGAGTATATTTCTAGCCACCAGATGCCTTTCAAAAGACAGTTTTAAAAGGAGGCCAGTGCCAGGCATGGTAGCACATGCTAGTTCCAATATCTTGCTGGTGCTGGTGTTTGCAATGAGTTCCAGGTAGATAGAAACTACATGGTGAAACCCTATTTCAAAAATAAATAACTATGGATTGGAGAGATGGCTCAGCAGTTAAGAGCACTTGATTGCTCTTCCAGAGAACCCAGGCTCGATTTCTAGCACTTACATGGTGGCTCACTCACAACTGCCTGTAATTCCAGTTCCAGAGGGCCCAATGCCCTCTTCTGGCGGCACCAGGAACACACATGGTGCAAAGACACATGCAAGCAAAACATTCATGCACATAAAATAAATAAATATATAAGCAGGGTCTGGTAGTATAGGCCTGTAAACTCAGAGACTGAGGTAGGACAGTTGCAAGGTCTGGGTTACAGATTGAGTACAAACAAGCCCAAATTGGGCAATTTACAGTCTATCTCAGAATAAAATGTAAAGGGCTGAGAATATAAAATAGCTGAATGGTACAGAACATGCTGAGCTGTGCAACCTAGGTTCAATTTTACCAAGTATCCTAAATGTTTGTTACTCGGGAAGATGAATTTGCGTATCACTTGCACCTAGGATTTTGAGACAAGCTTATCCAACAGAGCAAGACCCATCTTAAATCCAAAACAAAACCCACCCTTCACAGGCCTGGAAGGTGGCTCTGTTAGTAAACTGCCTGAGCTCAATTCCCCATCACCCATATAAATACACCAGGTGTGACACATGCCTGTAATCCTAATGCTGAGGAGGTAGAGAAAGAGGACTCCCCCAGGCTTGTTGGCCAACCAGTATAGCTAAATCTGGGAGCTCTGGGTTGAATGTAAAACTCAGCCTCAAAAAATAACTGGGAGAGCAATTGAGGTAGATGATAGCTGGCATCACTCTCTGGCCTCCTCACCCATACTAACAAGAAACCTATCCTCACATCCAGCCAAGGTACTCATCACCTGTAAACTACGTGCTCTGCCTTGTAAGACCATACACAGCAAGACAGTCTCTCACAAGGAGACCTACAATCATCATGTCTTGTTCATCTCTGCATTCTCGGAGCATAGAAACCACTCCTTTGTTGTGTTGTTTCTTCTGCCTAGAAGTTAAGTGTCCCTCAGCATCATTCCTGGATTGGTGTTCACACGGGGGCATGCTTATAGTGCCTGGGCGCAGAGGGAATGGAGAACTCACCGTCTTTCATACTCCATGTCCTGATAGGATCTTCGGGAGCTGTTGGGGGCCCCTCCTCAGTTGCTGGCTCCTTTTCACTTCCCAGCCACCCTCACTGCTGCCACCATGATCTGCCAGCCTGGGTGATACCTCCTGCAGAGACTCTGCAAAGAATGGAAGGAAGAAAAGGGTCAAGGTAGTTGGTGCAGAGAAGACCTCCTTGAGAGAATGTCATTGTCAAGACTCTCTACAGTCCTGTAGCCCAGGGACATTGTTTTCTACTTCCTTGTGCTCCTGTCAATCAGTGCAGGAAGACAGCCCCCATTTGGCTCTCTCCTTCCTTTCCCCACAAGCATAAGGCAAGATTCTACTGCCCCCAGAAAACAGTAAAGCCCTTATCAAACAAAGAACATCTTACAGAGATCTGGTGGTACCACCGGCTATGTGATCAAGGCTTTGCATTCTTATTCTTAGATCAACTGCTGAACGATCTGCCTAGGATTAGGCATAAGTCACAGAAATAAGACCACAATAATTGGATGGGGATATAGTTGTGAGACAGAACATGACCAGCACAGCCATGTTCAAGGCCCTTGGGTCACATCCCCAGCATCACAAAAACAAACAGCAAAACACCAAAAGACAAAAGAGTAATAAAAGACTTCACCAATGGAATCCCAAGCACCTCCCCATCGGTCAAGGTATCATTTCATCCTCCCAACAAGATGTTAGCTATACCCTAACAAGGCAAATAGAAACTTTGAAAGGCTTTTGGAGGGAGGGAGGGAGGGAAGGAGGGAATGTGTGTAGGGGCTAACTTGGCAACAAGACAGCTGCCACCTCCCTGGGCTCCTGGCCAACAGAGCTCTGGTCCTCATACGGCAAGTGGCTCAGCCATGATGTGACGTGCAGCCAGGTCCCCAGGTGGATCCCTCTCCCCAGGGATCATAGGCCAAGTTTTCAAGAGGCAAAAGAGGCCTCTTTCTGAAGCGGTTCCAAAACATCTTGTTCTACAGAGTTGAAAGGAGCAGTCACTTCATCCAACTTTTGGGGCTGCCTCAAGAAGTACAAGTCCTGAGAGTGATGTGACCCAACCAGGGATGGGAATTATCCCTGAATCTTCAGCTGCCACCCACTGTACAGGAACCAAGGAAAGCAAGGCCTAACACTAGGCTGCCACCACACCTTTCCTTCAAGTTCCTATTTTCTCTTCCACCTCAAACCACAAGAAACCAGCTAACTGCTCCCAGATGGGGGAAAACAGTTAACCAGGAACCCTAATGGCTGAGAACCTGATGCAAAGCCCTCAATGGCAAAAGGGTGAGTCAAACATTGTCATATACACAGCACAGAGAAGAATCAAAGTTACCGGCGAGCCCCCAAATAACCAAGGGCCAAGATCACAGAAAGTAACCCACAAGAGACATAAATAAACAATTCCCCTTTTAATATTTGAATGTCAGTGTCAATTACAACTCTCAAAAGAATAAAAGTCGCATCTATATTTCTCTATCCACCTCACCCTTCCCAGCATTCAATAAATAGGTTGGGGTCGGACAGTAACACGACAGTTTCCTGACCGATAAGGACTGGAGGTCAGAGACACACTCCAAGGATAAAAACCATAGTCACTTTCTCTCTCCGCGCTCGCCACCCCCCATCCCCGCCACAGAAATGAATAGAGGCTGCAACCAGAGTATTTCCGCGTGGATAATAAGTAACACAGGACACAGCCAGCACACCCCTGCTCTTAGAATACCCCCGCAAAGTCGCAGACACGCACTTCCAAAAAATAAAAGTTCGATGGAGCAAACATAGTAAGTCCCGGTACCCCACTCCCATCTGTCCCTCCCTTCCCCCACCCTCGTGCACCCATCCCGTGTTCCAATCGCGCACGCGCTTTTGCTTTCATAAGAAAAAGTGGGGGGACACCCTCTCTCAGGTGCATCCCTCAGCTTTGTGAACCCCGAAGTGTGCAGTCCGTCCCCGCGCCTCTTCTATGTTTACCGCACCACCACCCCCTGGCGCACGCCCCGCTCCCTTACCTCGGCCCCCACCACCCGAAACAGCGCTCACCTTCCCGGCCCGGGCTGTCAAGGGAGGGCTCCCAGGCATCACCTCCGCCAGCCGTCACCTCTCCAGAACTGCTAGTTCAACGGGAGCCGATTGCGTGCAACAACTAAGTCCAAGGCTAGTGGCAAAAGAGGGGAAAGGGGGAGGGGAGACGCGCCCGACGCGCAGCCCTCCCAAGGAAACTCAGTGCCGCCTTCTTCCAGCCGGCTGCAGTCACTGACACAAAATGGCGACGAGGAGACGGGAGCCGGCGCTCCGACCACCATCCACCTACTGAGGGAGCGCGCTCTGGCTGGCTTTGACGATTGGTTGCTGTCCGCCATGGGCTGGTCCTGGCCTTCTCTGATTGGCAAGCATATGCTACCTCCCCATTCCGTGAGAACACCCCGGGAGTCCAGAAAAAGAGTAGCTATTGGCTACCACTATGAGGCCCGCTTTTTAGAGCCTGCTTTGCCGTGAAGTTGAAAGACAAGCAAAAGCCCCACCTCTTTCCCCACAAGGCCTTCTAAATGTCACTACTTTCTTCTTATGAAGAAAATAAACAGACCTTTCAAGACTAAATTTCTCCCAGCGTGACAGAAAGGATAAAGTTGATTTGATGACAACACGACGTGGGAAGCAAAACAGAGTCCTCACCTCGCCACGCTTGAAAACAAACTTAGAACAAGGATCTATTTAGCGAGGTGAGGGCGGAGCGACAAAAATCGCGCTGGGATCAACCGCGCAGCTGCGCACTTCGCATTTCCGTGTCTCCCCCCCCCCCCCCCCCCCCCCATCCCCGACTCAGCCTCACAAGCTGTCATGGCGGCCAGGCTGTTAAGTTTATACGCTCGCCGGCTTTTGGCAGCAGCGGCTATACGAGAGCTCCCGGCTGCCCGCGTTCGCTGGGAGTCCTCCAGGGCTGTAATCTCCCCGTCTGCTGTGGAGAGAAAGCGGTCACAAGAACCGACCACACTCTGGCAGGAGGACCCAGAACCCGAGGACGAAAACCTCTACGCGAAGGTGAGAGGGAGTGGGAAACGGGTTGCCGCAGGGGCCAATCCGGGACCAAGCAGACCGCTGTCGAAGAGATCGTTCTCCAGCTCGAGGCTTGCGCCGGAAACAAGATCTTTAAAGATTCATAGTTTTGACTTGTTTTCCCCTTTTTTGTTTTGTTATCTTCGGTCTACGACTCAAAGGAGGATTTGCTTTGCTTGTAGACAGAAATCACACTTAAAGTGGGCAGTGCCCAAAGCGCATTAAAAATCAGGATAATCCTAAATTCTGGGATGGCATGTGCTCGGTTCCTGTGTAAACACTTTATATCTATGTTCAAAAACAGCATGATTTTGAGGTAGACGCTACTACTGTTACCATTATGCAGATGAGGATACCGAAACAGTTAAGTTGCTTGCTCAAGATCACATAACTTAAGTAGGAAGTGGAGCTGATTTTTGAATTTAGGACTATTTGAATTCCCGTGCTTTATGAATAACAGAGACCCTGGAGTCAGACACCGTGGGTTGAAATTTATTCACTTGTATGACCTTGGGCAGGTAGTTTATAGTCTTTTGCTGCCTTAGTTTCTTTGTAGAGTGAGAAAAGTAATAGGACACCTGAAATGGAACTGCTTCATATGATTAAATGAGTCAGAATGGTTCAACAGCTCCGGCCACTTCAGAAGTACTCAGAATTAGAAGATGTTTATTATTACCATTTGCACCTTACTAGGATATGTGAGGTTTGTGTATTTGAAAAGGCCTGGTGTATAAGTATTTCATCAACACTAACCTCTGGTTGAGGGGCTTAAATATATAGAGTGCTATAGGGTAAGTGGACCCATAGGAAATTACCAACATTCAGCCATTTTTAAACCTTTATAAATAGCACTTCCCAAGGGTACAACTTAACAGACAGGGTGATTAGGTAATGTTTCCCAAACAAGTAGGTGAAGCCAATTACTCCTTTGGAAATAAAGTTAAAACCTTGGATGAGGGGAGGGGCATGGATCCAGCTCTGATTAGATTTAGAGGAAGCACTTTCTAGGTAGAGGGGGGAAGAGCAAATACCAAAGCCCTTTGTTGGGAAGGAACTTCCCAAGCTAAGAATAGGAAAGATTTTAGTGAGGAATAAGAAGTTGGTTTGAGGGCAGATTAGAGACCAGACCATGCAGGGCCAGCATATATTTTTATTATGCGGGAGGAAACCCTTATTGATCTTTACCTCTCCTTAGAACCCAGACTTTCACGGCTATGACCAGGACCCTGTGGTGGACGTCTGGAACATGCGAGCTGTCTTCTTCTTTGGTTTTTCCATCGTCCTGGTCTTTGGTACCACTTTTGTGGCATATCTGCCTGACTACAGGTATGGGGTTTTCCAAGAGAGCAGAGTGAGTAGAAGCAGGAGCAAGGGTAAAGGTTGAAGGAGTCTCTGGCCAGAATCTTTGCCCTGCATTGATTGGTGGGGTATGGAGTGCTAAGGAGGGGAACTGGTGTCTAGTGAGGCTCTCTCACATAGATCATGCCTGTTGCTGCTTCTAGGATGCAAGAGTGGGCCCGCCGGGAAGCTGAGAGACTTGTAAAATACCGAGAAACCAACGGTCTCCCCATCATGGAATCCAACTGTTTTGATCCCAGCAAGATCCAGTTACCAGAAGAAGACTGATGAATTACTGAGTGGGCTTAAAAAGCGCTACTTTGTCTTCCCTGCCTGTTATCCTTCTGGTTTCTCAGAGTACCTTATTAAAGGGATTGAAAGAATGATTGGTTATTGTTGCTTTTGTTATGGAAGAAATTTATGAAAGTGTGACAAGCCTTACTAGGGCCACTGCTGCCTTTCTTGTTTGTCTAGAGCTATGCAACACTAAAGTTTGGTGGCTTAGTACTCTATTCCATGGCTCCATGGGCTGCACAGTTAGGGGATTTGGCTCCTCTAGGATCCCAGGTGGCTGCTGTTAGGTAGTAGCTAGGGCTAGAGTCATCTGAAGCACATCTGGTCTGTACAGCCAATGTTTCTGAAAAAACAAACATGTCTGGCACTTCAGTCTTCAGCGTAGTAACCTGGGCTGCTTATAGCAGTGGTTCTCAATCTTCCATATTCTGCCAACCTTTTAATACAGTTCCTCATTGTGGTGACTCCCCCCCCCCCACCATAAGATTGCTTTTGTTGCTACTTCATAACTGTAATTTTGCTACTGTTACAAATCGTAATGTAAATATTTTTGGAGATAGAAGTTTGTCAAAGGGGTTGTGATCCACAGGTTTAGAACTATCTTAGAGGGTAGTTGAAGGTTCTAGATGGAGATCCAGCATTTAGGAAAAAATTGACAATAACTATTTCTACAAAAAAAACTAGCACACTATAATCTTTCTACATTTGAATATGTGCTGAAATAACTGGTGGGCCACAGCAGAGGTTTTCCATTGCTGGGTGTGGGTATTTGGCTCCCCCCTGCTTTCTCTGCTTCTCTCTGGGGTTTGTGGCTTCTCTGCTTTCATCTTGTGTGTTGGCTGAATGCTTCTCTTTTCCCTTCTAATCTAATTATGGATGGTCTCCAACTTGACATACATGTAGACTAGGGTTGTAGCTCAAGGTTAAAATACTTGCTGAGTATGCTGTAGGTTCCATCCCAGCACCAAATACTCAAAAATATTTGCATGTTTCTGCTTGCTTCTCCCTTTTCCTCTCCCTCTCGCCCCCTTTCCTCTTCCTCCTTCTCCCTTAATAGCATCTAAGGAAATAACCATCTCTGGCACTGAGATTTTTGTTTAGCAATTTACAGATTATGGAAACATCTTTTTTCACCCATACATTGTACCTTCATTCAAACTCTTGTTTGCTTTTTTTGAGATAGGATCTCATATAGCCCAGGCTGAGATCGAACTCATATAATAGCCAAGAATGACCTTGATCTCCCAATCCTTCGACCTCCTAAACACTAGGATTATAAGTGTGTACCATGTCTGGCTCACTCAAACTCTAAGCATTATTTTGACTAAAATTTGCAGGCATAGGCTTTTGTAGGATTTTTATCATTCATCATGGTAGGTATCATCTGCATCATAAAGCTTCTAAAATTTTTATAGGTGTCCTGGCCCTTATAACCCCATATGATTTCCCATACTTACTTCTTTGGGTGTTGCTCCCATGCTTTTCATATGTGTTTCTAAATCTGTAAAACACTCAGAGGTTAGTATTATATAATCTATGTAATGAAATTACATTTTTGTGTGTGTGTGCATGCTTCAGAAGACAACTTGCAAAAATTGATTTCCTCTTTCTGCCATGTAGTTTACAGGGCTAGAACTCAGGTCATCAGGCTTGGTGATAGGAGTCTTTTTTTTTTTGTTTGTTTTTTTCGAGACAGGGTTTCTCTGTAGCTTTGGTGCCTCTGCTGGAACTAGCTCTTGTAGACCAGGCTGGCCTCAAACTCCCAGAGATCTGCCTGCCTCTACCTCCCGAGTGCTAGGATTAAAGGTGTGCGCCACCACCGCCCGGCGTGATAGGAGTCTTTATCTACTGAGTTATGTATCACTTTCCCTACACCATTTTACAAAGGGTAGTCAGGATTATTAAAGGCCCAATACTTACCATTCTAAGCAAGTGCCAATGATCTCAGGAATCAGCTGCTAAGGGGATAGTTAAGAAAAATTTTACCAAGGTCCAATACAGAATGAAAAGATTCCATTGCTTGTATCATTTTCTCAAAAGATCAGAGGTAAATTAATGGCTTGATGAGAGACACTATTTGAGTTATCCTTCCACAATGCACAGTCATTCTCCATGAGCCTTTTTGCCTCATCCTAGAATATGCCATGGGACTCCATATGTCTCCCACTTCTGAGGAACTAAGTGGAGCTGACTCTTACTGCTTTGAACAGCTTGAAGCCAGGGGGATGTAGGGCTACACTCTCATCTTCTGTCTATAAGGCTCCACATACTTGACAGCCTTTAGGCCAATGCTACAGCTGGCTTCTGCCTCGCCATCGACCATATTTGGCTGCTGAAAGGGCCCCAAGCTAGATAAATAATCTCTACTTGGCATACTTTAAGTTATTTTGTTGTTCTTAATTATGTGTATGTGTGTGCCAGTAGGTACTCATGGATGCCAGAGGAGCTAGTGTTACAGGTGAGTCATCCAATTGGGTGCTGGAAATTGTACTTGGGGACTCTCTTCAAGAGTGATTTGATCTCTTAGCCACTGAGCCATTTCTCCAGTATCCAGCATACTTTTAAAAATTATATATTTATTTTATGTGTATGAGGGTCTTGTCTATATGTATGTCTATGCAAAATGTGTGCAGTGCCCATGCAGGCCAGAAGAGGGTATTTCCTGGAACCGGAGTTAAACAGTTGTGAGCCACCACATGGCTGCTGGAAATTGAAGCCAGGTCCTCTGAACTGCTGAGGCATCTCTCCAGCCCCATCCCCTTTTTTCTTTTTGTCTTTGTTTCTTGAGACAAGGTCTCACTATGTGGGTGGCCTAGAATTCACTCTGTAAACCAGGCTGGCCTTGAACTCACAGAAATCCACCTGCCTCTGCCTCTGCCTTCTGAATGCTCGAGTTAAATACGTGCACCACCCTCCTAGCCTCATTTTTTGTTTTGTTATTGTTTAGATGGTCTCACTATGTAGCCCTGGCCGTTCTGGAACTTGCTCTGTAGACCAGGCTGGCCTCAAACTCACAGAGATCCGCCTGCCTCTCCCAGTATACTTTCTTACAGACAGGAGAGAAACCTGCAGTTAACTCTAGGTAAGTGTAATTGCCTACTCCTGGAACAAGCCATGTTAGGATTGCTCCCATGGATGCTGTCATGTCTCTGGGTGCCAAGTGTTCCATTAACTTTTCCTGGGGAGACAAGAACAAGCATATTATCTATTCACCAAGGACAAACTGTGGGGAGCTGAGGAAGCCCTGCGTGTGTGAAGTCCTGAGTGAATGTGTGCTGTTGACATAGCCATGTCAAGGACCCCGATGCCTCAAGTCCAGGGGAAAATGGCCTAGCTTGGGGAAATGGCAAAGGCTTCTTTCTTCCTGGTCCACTATAGCTTTCTCCACAGTTCCATATTTACATTCGGAAGACTCCTACCCCTACAGAGACTGCTCCTACTGATATTAGCTAATTCTGTCCTCTTAATTCAGCTATATTCCATAAATCCTGGCTCCTTATTTATCTGGATGCAATAATACCTTCTCTTAGAAGCCATGCTTCTTAGAATACCATGGATGGTTCCTCCATCAGAGAGCCCAGTCTACCAGATTCCAGCTTTTCTGTGTGTTGTGTTTTCTTCACTCCATTGCTGCCCCAGTCAGGTCCATCCTTGGAGCCATGTAACGTACTGGAGAAACATTTTCACCCAAATCTAGCTTGGTAAACCTATAGGTTTAATTGGGGCTTACTTACAGGATCGTAGGTGAGGGGTTCAACTGTTTTCATTTTAACACAGCAATGGCCATTCCAAGCCTGGAGAAGAGTATTCCACAGGGACTGGTGTCAGCTGAGCACTGCTTTGAGCAGAATGCACCTGACATCGATGAGCACTTGGTCCATTATCATGTCTCAGCCTTTTAGCTAATATTAAGTTTTATATCTATTCGTAACCAGTTTACTATCTGACATGTCCTTTATCTAAGGAAAATGTACTAAATCAATTTTTTTCTATTTTTTTAAATTTATTTAATTTGTATTGAAAATTTCCACCTCCTCCCCTCCTCCCACTTCACTCCCCTTCCCCCCTCCCTCTCCCCCTCCCTCTCCAGTCCAAGGAGCAGTCAGGGTTCCCTACCCTATGGGAAGTCCAAGGTCCTTCCTGCTCCCCCCAGGTCCAGGAAGGTGAGCATCCAGACTAGGCTCCCACAAAGCCAGTACATGAGTAGAATCAAAACCCAGCGCCATTGTCCTTGGCTTCTCAGTCAGCCCTCATTGTCAGCCACATTCAGAGAGTCTGGTCTGATCACATGCTCCATCAGTCCCAGTCCAGCTGGCCTTGGTGAGCTCCCAATAGATCAGCTCCACTGTCTCAGTGGGTGGGTGCACCCCTCGTGGTCCCGACTTCTTTGCTCATGTTCTCCCTCCTTCTGCTCCTCATCGGGACCTTGGGAGCTCAGTCCAGTGCTCCAGTGTGGGTCTCTGTCTCTATCTCCATCCATCACCAGATGAAGGTTCTCTGGTGATATGCAAGATATTCAGCAGTATGGCTATAGGATAGGGTCATTTCAGGTTCCCTATCCTCAGCTGCCCAAGGAACAAGCTGGGGACATCTCTAAATGAATTTTTTAAATTTTTTTATGATGTATTTATCTTTATTTTATGTGCATTGGTGTGAAGGTGTCAGATCCCCTGGAACTGGATTTTCAGACAGTTGTAAGCTGCCATGTGGTTGCTGGGAATTGAACCCGGGTCCTCTGGAAAAGCAGTCAATGCTTTTAACCGCTGAGCTATTTCTCCAGCCCTCTAAATGAATATTTTTAAACAAGGAGATGGAATAGCTGGTTCTGTCCATTCCATGCATGAATCTGGTATTATGAAACCCCTAGGAATTAATTCCTTTGGGGGATTTTAAAAAATGGTATGTTACCTCTTGTGTAGATGACACTGATCTATCCATGGTCTTCTGGCTTATAGATCAAGAGTGAATGCCTCTTGTTCTGCCAAGTTCTACTTCATCAAGTTCTCAGCCCTTGAGAAGTTTTCATTCTTAGCTATACATGAATTAAATCCTAAAACCTAAGCCGGGCGGTGGTGGCGCACGCCTTTAA